CAGTGACGCATATGTGGATTTTCAGTGCAAGGGCGCCCTCTGGCTTCCAGTATGAATGAAATGCACAAACCCCTCCCCCCTTCTTTCCAAGGTTGGCAGTTCTGCATCGTGAGTCAGAGACAGTCCTGTCACTGCTGTGTCTCTGTAATGTGTGTTGGGGTTTTAATCTCCAGTCTCTGTGTGTCTGGTTTAGGTTCGGCGTTTACGTGCCGCTCTGCTGCTTCCATCAGGAGGGTCGAGCTCAACCCGCTCCATCCGAATGCGGTTTCTCAGAGCAGGACGGGTCCGACGGGCCTCTACCGCGGCCCAAAGACTTCCTGAAGCTGCTGCGAGAAAACCTGCGCGATCAGTTCTCCAGCCCTAAACACATCCCCACACACACCTGCCCACCGTCGCCCGAGCTCATCCGCAGCGAGGTCGAGGAGCTCAAGACCGACTTCAACCGCCGCATCAAAGAAGTGCTCTTCAACTCGCTCTTCAGCGCTTATTACGTGGCCTTCCTGCCGCTGTGCTTCGTCAAGGTGAGCGTCCTCAGAGTTCAGTCAAGCCCCGAATGGTTTATTACTGTGCCCTGTAAACAGCATCATTGAGTTTTCATGCGCATTAAAATCATTTCTAGAGCTGCAGATTTGCTTTCTGCACATTCACCAGCATCTGCTAATACGTTATCATTAACTCCTGACGAGAACCGTCCACTGAGGCTTAAGGCTGCAACGATAAATCGATGCAGAGATAGTGACACGCACCTGTGTTTTCACACTCTTCATGTTTTCCGTGTTTCCAGAGCACGCAGTACTACGACATGCGCTGGTCCTGCGAGCATCTGATCATGGTGTGGATCAATGCGTTTGTGATGCTGATGAGCCAGCTGCTGCCTCCCAGTTACTGCGACCTGCTGCATCGCTCCGCTGCGCATCTGGGCCGCTGGCAGCGTCTGGAGCTCGGATCCTACAGCAACACGCCGCAGCACATGTGAGTGAACGCTCGGGAATGCTGCTCTGATCGAGTAGGGATGTAACGATATCAAAATCTCACGGTACCATATTATTACCATATTTAAAAAGAAAAAAGACAAATGAAGAAATGGGGAAAAAATGACAATTTTGTACATTTTAAAGTTAAATTATTCTATCTAATGCACTTTGAGAGTTCAAAATCAAGAGCTGCAACCCATGTTCTTAACTAAGAAAAATTAAGTCAGAAAAAAGTCAGTGCATTGACTTGTACCTGACCTTTAAAGGGGACTCAACCCTCTTTTTATTTGTGATATACTGTCTCAGTCTAAATTACATTCACACTGGTGTTTTAGGAAGCCAAATAAATTAGACCATAATAATAATAATAACAACAATGACAGCAGTAGCCATATATTGTAAAACAATTGCAGTGTAAAATAAATGAAAATGAATATTTCATTGGTATATTTTTGCTTTACACTACAGCAGGGAAAGTACAATACTTCTTTCCTAATTTCTACACTTGCCGTTGAGTTTCCAAACGCACTCTAAACACACATCAGATGAAATAAAGGAGTGGACTGCATTCATTCAGTGTGAACGAGTCGTTCTGAGACACGGAAAACACCGGATCACGAGCTGATCGTCTGAACGAAGTGTGCGCTTCGCTTTGAAACAGACTTGATGAAGAGATTAAGCCATATTGTGCTTTCAGTTTTAGTTTATTTGACAGATAATGTGCCAAAGCATAATGGCCCAAAACAATAAAAAAAAAAAAACCTACACTTTTTGCTCGGAAGGCCTATCATTTCATATCGTCATGTGACCATGATAATATGGAGACAGTTTTGCTATATTGATGATATCGTTACATCTCTAGTGATTCAGCTCTCTACTATGTGGTCATTTAGACGTGCTTTCAAAGTCAAGTTTGTTTGCAGGACTCTTTCTAAGCGGATTATGAGCAGTGTTGTGTTTCTGGAGCTGTTCTTCTCTTGTGTTCAGCTGGTCTGACAGCACCATCTGGCCGCAGGGAGTCCTGGTGCGTCACAGCCGCTGTCTCTATAAAGCCCTCGGGCCGTATAATGTGGCCTTGCCCTCCGACGTCTCTCATGCCAGGTTTTATGTGAGTATCTGTCATATTTTTAACTATGATGACATGAATGCAATAGTAGACGAATTCAGAATTAGTGGTCGACCGATATATTGTAAAAGGGCCGATATATCAGCAGATATGTGGCATTTTTCAAATATCGGCATCGGCTGATAAGTTTTTCTTTTTGGCCGATGTGTTCAAGGCGGGACTTTTATTTTGACGGCGCTGAGACCGGCAGCGCTCACAATCTCCCTCTTCATTGTTTGCAATGTCTTAAGGAATTAAAAAGTATACAATAAAGTATTATAATGTTTGCTTTTATATTATTAGTATAAGAAAGGCAAACATTATAATACCTTCTCGTTTACCGTAAGCATTCAGCAAATACGCATTTATATCATTTAAACAAATCTTTTATTGTCTAATAAACATTTAATTTCCCAGACCTAGCAGAGTATGTTTATTTGACATGAATTTTTTAATTCATTTTCAAATTATTTCAAATGTTTAAATGAATTGAAATAAATAAAAATGATACATGCATATATCGGCCATTGGCCACCCTGCTCTCTAAGATATCGGCATCGCATCGGCTGTCAAATAAACAATATCGGTCGACCACTGTCCAGAATGAAAACTCTGCTGTCATTTAGCAGGGTCTCTGCCATTTACTCACCCTCATATTCATGTGCTTTTCGTGTTTGTGGAGCGCAGAAGAATAGTTATTTATAATAAATAAATATAATAATCTGCCACTGATCTTCAGAGCTGATGGTGTTGTCTTCTCCCGAGCAGTTCCTGTTCCACAAGCCGCTGCGGATGCTGAACCTGCTGATCGGGATCGAGTCGAGCGTGGTGCTGTATCAGCTGTACTCTCTGCTGCGCTCCGAGCGCTGGAACCATACGCTCTCTCTGGGCCTCATCCTCTTCTGTAATTATCACGTGCTGTTCAAGCTGCTGCGGGACCGCCTCGTGCTGGGGAAGGCGTACTCGCACCCGCTCGCCGCCGGCATGAGCATCAAGCCTCAGTGAGACGCGGACTTCTGCGGTTTATACCGTCTACTTTCATGCAACGTTTGTATCTATTTAAGAAAATATTTTATTTTGTATACTGTTACACACGATGTTACGTTTACGACGCGCCGTCATATCCTTTTGTAGCCCGCGTCTCGCGTGACGTCCAAATTCAGCCAAAGATTGAAAGAAAACAACTGGAAGAGCTAAAGCTGACCAATCACGACGAAGGACTGGACGGTCCGGTTCACTCAGTGCTGTTTGATCATTTCCACCGTTACTGTGTTTTACGAGTATTATCTGTTCATAGTATCTCACGTGTCCACTTTGTTTCAATCAAACTTTGTAGAAAACAGCACCGACAGCATCTATTTTAAAGCTTGAGCCATCAGCATCCTTCTTTTCTTTTCTGTGCCAAATCCCAGGGGGCCGTGGGCGTGGCTAGTGCGCTCTGGGCGGAGCCTGTGGACTGTCAGGCTTGCAGTATTTTTCAGAACCGCTTGTTTCAGAGTATTGATGACATCCAGAATAAAAGACAAAAACAGCCTGTTCTTCTCAGATCTGTTGGTGGATGATCGTCATCATGAAAAAGGCCAGGAAATGTCTGGGTCGTATTTCACCCCAAGAGGAAAATAAAACCAAGAAAGATTTTCTTCATATTATGACCGTATGTTTGTTTTTCTTATTACAGTCATGAGAATTTTAGGGGTGCTTAATTTCAAAGTGCCTTAAAAATAAGCTCCATTTTCTTACAATGTTTGGGTGAAATATAAGCTGGCCATGTTCTCGACAAGCGTCGTGACTTTATAAAAACAATCATTTGTGGATCACACGCATGAATGTGTCTAATCTGAGCAGTTCTTGCAGTTAATTCTCATTCATGACTGGTGCTTTTATTTTTTGCAAAAGCTTTTAATGTGTTGTGCATAACAAAGGGCATTAAAATTCTCCAAATGATTAGTGCCATTGAATGAATAAACGTCAAAGTGCGGTTCGGGAGCTGATATCCTCTTTGATTTACAGTGTGTTTGTGTGTGGACCTCTGCAGAACAGTCTCTGACCACTAGAGGGAAGCACACACCTGTAAAAGCAGTATCTCGTACAGTAGTTCTCAATTTCCACACAAGCAAGCACCTCACACTTCAGTACATTAGAGAAAACAGAAACTGCACCAGTGCTACGAACAGAACAAGCTGATGTCCGTGCCTTTCTGTCTCCAGTCCTTCACCGGCGACTGTCCTGAGCCGTGAAATCAAAGGCAGCAGACGGAAAATAAAAATCAGGCACTCCTAAAACATCTACTATATTATAACGATATGTGCTATGATAGAATGGCTGTCAGTGGATAACCTTACATAATACTTTTGTATGGAGTCAAATCAATGCCACATAAAATTGCAAAAGAATTGAAGTATTGCAAAATAAAATAAAGTTTTGCAAAGCAAAATTAAAGTATTGAGGAAACAATAAATGTGCTTTTCGCAAACAAAAATAAAGAATTGCAAAAGAAAACGAAGTTTTGCAAACCAAAACAAAGAATACAGTTTTTTGCTTTTGCGCTTCACGTTTCTGCATGTTTCACTTTCTGGCATTGTTTTGACATGGGGGTGGGAAAAAGAAAGCTATCGCGAACTCACACTTGACTGAAAAGCAAAATAAAAGCAGCTTTGCAAATAAATTATTTTTATTTTTTTCATTTAAAAATGAAATGTTTTTCATTTTTCTCAATACTTTCATTTTCGTTTGCAAAACTTTATTTTCTTTTGCAATTCTTTATTTTTGTTTGCCAAAAAAAACATTTATTGTTTCCTCAATACTTTAATTTTGCTTTGCAAAACTTTATTTTCTTTTTCAATAATTCAATTCTTTTGCAAGTATATGTGGCATTGATTTGACTCCATACTTTTGCTCTTTTGCACAAGGCTAAACAAGTGTTAAAAAAACAAAGAATTTTATTAGTTATTGATGCATATTCTGGACTGTGCAACTTTTCTGCATGAAATAATAGAGTATCTTATGTGCTAACGGAGAGAAAGCAAAGCGCTCCACTGCTACTCAGCCTTCTCTGCAGTCCACGTAGTTTCCCTTGATCCAGTAGCAGATCTGGGCGAACTTCAGCGGAGTGATGCGCACCGCCACGTTGAACTCCTGAGGCGTGCCACTGAGGTCCACCCACTGGTGTCCGGAGAAGATCCCGATGACCTTGCGCTCCCAGCGCCGGCGTCTGCGGTTCCACATGCGGGTGTAGACCCCAGAGCCGCTGGCACCCGGCTGAGCATCGCAGCGCTGGTACAGCAGGTCGTAGGTTTCGTCCCCGGCCTCGCAGAAGCGGTACACCAGCTGACCCGGCCGGTCGTTATCAAACCCGGAGAACTGCACACGCTTCCCGGGGAGCTGCTTAGCCGCGGGGCTGATGCCCAGCTTCATGTGCCTCCGCTTGTGGGCCTTCTTGAGCTCCAGCAGGGCGTAGTCGTAATCCATGCCGATGTCGTTGGCCGAGCCCTTGATAATAATAATAAAAATGATAATACATGTGTGACCCTGGAGCATAAAAGCAGTCATAAGTAGCACAGGTATATTTGTAGCAATAGCCAACAATACATTGTATGGGTCCAAATTATCCATTTTTCTTTTATGCCAAAAATCATTAGGATATTAAGTAAAGATCATGTTCCATGAAGATATTTAGTAAATTTCCTACTGTAAATATATAAAAACTTAATTTTTGATTAGTAATATGCATTGCTAAGAACTTCATTTGGACAACTTTAAAGATGATTTTCTCAATATTTAGATTTTTTTGCACCCTCAGATTCCAGATTTTCAAATAGTTGTATCTCAGCCAAATATTGTTAGATGATGCATAAATCTCAATTAAAAAAAAAATGGACCCTTATGACTGGTTTTGTGGACCTTGGTCACATTTTATTTATAGACAGTTTCATTGGGCGCATGCGCCTGGCCCTCAGTTAACTTCCGGTCTGTGTTTGTTTATCGGTCTGGCAAGGGGTGCTGACTACAAACGCAGTTAAAGTTAAGGTGATGAGTAGACTGAAGTTGGGCTCAGGTTGTTGTGCTGTGGGATGCAATGTTTCCCATACATTGATTTATTTGTGTCGGCCTGCCACAATATCAAAACTGACCACTTTAAATAGATTTGACTTCGTTGAATAAACATGAGTACTGCACGTTTCAAAATCAAATGCAGCGCGGGTGTTTTTATATCACTTTATCTCTAAAGGAAACCGACTGTCTCCAGAAAAATGTTGATGTCATTTTCACTTCATCTTGCCTCTAATGTCTGATAAAGCAGTGTTTGTGAGCACAGCGCTGCATTGTGTACAGCCTTCACTGGAGAAACCTCTATATCTGCTGCTCCAAAAGCGCCTCCTGCTGGCAGAGAATGAATTTGCATTTTCAATAAGCCCATCTGATTTATGCAGCAAACATGTTTTGCTTGTTATCAGAAATAATCTACTCTAGAGGGACTTTGCTGTTGTTATTGGTTCTTTGCGGAAGTCTACCGGAAGTTAAGTAACGTTTGTTTATGTTGTTTCTGTTGGAACCATCTATAATGCACTTTTCTAAAACCCAAAGCGCTACAAACATCAGCAAATAAAAACTAGGGCTGTCAGTTTAACGTGTTAAATTAGTTATGAAAAAATAACGTGATTAGAATATTTTAATGCAGTTAACACACTGGCCCCGCCCCCAGACCTGTACATCATCTTACAGTTCATACAGTTGACTATTAACAAATATGATGCAGGGCAACTCCATAATTGCAGTTATGCCCTAAAATTCAAGATATTGGGTCAAAAAAATGCTCCTGTATGAGTTTTTGTCTCATATTTATATCATATGATAAGCGATATCACACCAGCAGTGCGAGCAATATCACACGAGTGCTGATTGTCTCGAATATAACGAGTGCAAATGTGATTTTATACAACAGTTCAGTAAATAGGAAGTTAATATTGTGTTATATTTTAAACACAATATTGTCTGTTTTTGCTCAGTTTTGCCAACAAAAGTATTACCTATAATGCCACAGCAGAATTGTTGTGCGTCTCCGAGCAACACAGCGGTGTTTAGTTTCTGAATGGATCTGCGTTTTGAACGAATCGGGTGAATCAATGATTCAAAGCCCCATTCATAAAGTGAGCCATTTACTTCATTTCTGAATGAATCAGCCGTTTGAACGAATCGAATGAATGAATGATAGATGATATGAGATGTCTCATAGAGACATCTACCGCCACCTGCTGGCAGTTTTTAAGTAATGTAATTTGCGATTAATTAGATTAATTAATCGACAAATCATGTAATTAATTAGATTTAAAACGTTAATTGACTGACAGCCCTAATAAAAACAAATAAAATACAAAAGCACAAAAAAATAATACAATAAAAGAAAGTATAAATCATAAATAATCATTACAGTGTTAGTGATCCAGCCCTTGGGCACGTGTGTGCGCTTGACTCGGATCCACTGGAACTTCATCTTGCTCAGTTCAGTGCCGTTTCCGCCGGACGTCTCTTTCTGCCGCGGCTTCAGGAAGCCCACTCTCAGCCTCTGGGCTCCTTTGACGTAGTTCTTTCCATCGTGAACGCAGTGCGCCGCCGTGAGGACGTGCCGGTCCCCCACCAGCGTCCCCGAGCATCCGGTGGACAGCTTGACGGCGGTAGAGAAGGGGTAGTTCATGAGGAAGTCCTGGCCGATGATACTGAAGCGGCTGTCTGTACCGAAGATCTGGCGTCTGCGTCTGGAGTGGCCGGCGGGGGGCCTGTAGAAGGCCTCGGCGTCAAATCCGTAGATGCCCACCGCCGTCTCGGTCAGCTGGCCGCTGGAGTGCAGCGTTTCGTAGGACAGGAACTGGCGCAGGTCCCAGTAGCTGGGTGCAGGGGCCCGCTTGTGGCACTCGGGGCCACAGGAAGAGCTGAGCTCCAGCTGAGCGGGCCGCAGGAAGTGAGGCGCCGGCCGCTCCTCCGTCTGCTGGGGCCAAACCACAGGCACACGCTGAAGGGGCCACTGGGGCCCCGGGGCCGAGCCCGACGCCGAGCCCAGCAGCAGCAGCAGGGCGAGCAGAGCCATCAGAAATCCTGGACAGAAGCAGAAACGTCTTAGCGTTTGGCAGACTGCTTAAAACTGAGTCAGGAACAGTCTACCACTTCAGATTAGCCCCCTCTATTTCTGCCTTTAAGTCTGTTCTAAAGACATATCTATTCTCTCTAGCTTTCAGTACCCCTTGATCATTGGTTCAGTTGTTGTTTTAAATTTGATAGTCTTGTTTTTTTTTTTAATTATTTTATTCTGTGCAGCACTTTGGTCAACTTCGGTTGTTTTTAAATGTACTTTACAAATAAATATTGTATTGTCAGACGAGACAAATCACCGCAGATATTACACTCAGTTCATCTGCACACCGGACAGGTCGCGTCGCACTGTTCATACAGTCAAGTCACCTTTATTTATACAGAACTTTTAACAATACAGATTGTGTCAAAGCAGCTTTACAGTATTAAATAGGAAAACTGTGTCGATAATGCAGAAGGACAATAGTAAACACTCAATGTTCAGTTAAAGGCAGTTCATCATTGAATTCAGTGATGTCCTCGTCCAGTTCAGTTTAAATAGTCTCTGTGCAATCAAGTCAACGATATCGCTGGAAATGAAGCGTCCCCAACTAAGCAAGCCAGAGGAACCAGAACGCCATCGGTGACAGAATGGAGAAAAAAGCTTGGGAGAAACCAGGCTCAGTTCTCCTCTGGCCAGACGAAACGAACCAGCAGTTTAATTACAGGCTTCAGCAAAATCAGATTGTCAGCTCAGCACATTTAGTAGATGTATTCTATGTGTACATGATATTCTGCACAATTAATACGTTTCAGATCTCTGTTACAGAAGTCAACAGCTGCAGCTGTAAAATAAAATATTCTGTGCCAAAGGTCAGAGTCCAAAACTCTTACATGATCCGGCTAACAGACGATTCATGTAAAGACTTTTTAAACATTATTAATCTGCTTCCACTGCAGTGAGTTACAGAGGTCAGGGATTCGGGATTTTTCCTAATTCACCAGGGACACAATGCATGGAAATATTTCTGAAGGATGACTGTGAGAAAATACCCGCTTCCATGACAGCAGTGAAAACAGTTTACTGACTTCACAAACAGTGCAGCTGTGTTACAGAAGTGAAATTACCATGGTTACAAAACAGAAGTGATTTTATTCTGTAATGCAGAATCAGAACAGTTTAGGATCTCAGATCATATGAATCGCTGTTCATAATGAGTTTGCAGATGTTGAGCTCTACAGGTATTGAGTCTTCAGTCCAGAGAAAGCTGAAGCGAGTCTCACCTGTTCGCGCGCGCAGGTGCGTCCGATATTAACCTCCAGTAAAACTCCGAGCAGATCAGTGTTTCAGGACATGGATCCAGACGAGCAGCGGCTCCAGAACAACACAGCTTTCTCTTCTCGTGTGAGCTCGCTTCATCTCATCGCCAGTGTTGCTCTGATCGGGTCTCCGTGCGTGCGTGGGCGCGTCGCGCGGCGATTCATCTCATCACGTGACCTGAGATAAACGCGTCGTCTGATCGCCGTGTTTGTGTTCTGGTCTATTAGAATAATTCGCCTATAAAGCGTTTGCGATAATAATGTTTCATTTCTTACTTTGACGATGCTTAAGTAAATACTTATAAGTAGATGACGTGCGTTAAATGTCAATCCACATAAACCTTTGAAAAAACGTCTTATTTATATTTACAGAAAAATATGCAGGCTACATTTAGATCTGTATAAAAGCCTCTTCAGACCGCGTGAAAAGCCTCGGTCCGGTAGCTCATGGTTGCAGTTTTATGCCTGTTTTAGTTGGTATGCATGTAGTGAGCATCAGATACTCCTGGAATGAGTAAGAATAGCCCTCTCTGTGGATGTTTAATAAATCTCTGCTTTATTTCCACGGGATGTTCACACAGTTTAGGGGTTAACAGAGCACATTTGCCTAATTCTTTATGTTTATAGTCACACTCTTTATTATGACAAAGTCACATGTAAAAAGTGTGGTTTCACTTTATTTTGATGGTCTCTTTAACACATTCTGTTGACTGTAATAACATGCTCTTAACATGTCTACTAACTAACTCTCATTAGAGTGTGAGTAGGGTTAGGGCTAGAATAAGTTGACAATGACGTACTTGCAAAGTTACATACATAGTCAATAGAATGTCTTTGTAGACCAGCACAATAAAGAGTTAGCAGATATTAAAGGGGTCATATGATGCAATTTCAATTTTTCCTTTCTCTTTGGGGTGTTACAAGCTCTTGGTGCATAAAGAAGATCTGTAAAGTATGTCCCCACTGGATGCAACAAATGCCTCGTTTATAATGGGTTTTCAGGTTTTTGTGTCGTCGCTCCGGCCGGACAGGGCATCATCACAGTATGGTGAGGGGCGTAACATTTCCGTCACACGCTTGAGGTATTCGGACAATCACAACGCACTGGATAGCTGGCCAATCACAGCACACCTCGCTTTTCAGACCGATGAGCTTTGTAAAAATCGACGCGTTTCAGAAAGGCGGGGCATAGAGGAGAAACAATAATGTACAGTATGTGGAAAATAAGGTGTTTTTAACCTTAAACCATGTAAACACATTTCATTACACCAAATACACAAAATAATGTTCTTTTTAGCAACATCATATGACCCCTTTAAGCAGACAGTCTACTGATACTCTAATGAGAGTTAGTTGACATGTAGGTACAAAGTTACTTATTGTCAAGAATGCCCATCAAAATAAAATGTTACCAAAATTGTTCTTTTTTTTATTTTTGGTTTGTTTCTCTGTTCCGTCTGCATGCACAATGTGTGGGAGACTGTATCCCATAATGCAATGCACCTGACTTGACCTTCCATGTCTAGTGCGATGAGTGAACAGTAAGTAACAGAATAAAATCATGCAAAATAAGATGATAACTGGACAGCACTCGCTGAGCTAAACGTGCAATAATGTAGACTACTACTGTTGATCTTTGCACACTCCAGACTGTGTCTATAAGCACAGTGCGATCACATGCTCCGCTGCTGAGGACAGTGACATTAACCGCAGCGGTGGGCGATGAAAGAGCCGTCTGTCTCATTCAAGACTTCATGTCTGCTGAGTCCCGTCCACAACATTCTGTGACGCTCCTGGAATTCGTATTGATCGCAGAGACACTGGCCCCGGGTCACTGCAGAACAGCATCTGTCATCTTTTTATGCTAATCGTCTCGGTTTGGAGTTTAAAAGCTTTAATTAGTGACACTACCACATTTTCACTTGCAGAAGATGCTTGCTGTGACCATAAAGAAACATTTGAGAGAAAAACTCTCCTTTTGTGTTCTACAGATAGAAAGCAAGCCATGCAGGTTTGAAATAACATAAGAGAGAGAAAAGGATGAGAAAATGTTCAATTTGGGTGAATTATGCCTATTAGTTTTACAATATGCTTTTGCAAAGCAGTACTGCTGTTTATTTAAAGCCTAATTTTTCATGCATTTTGGCAGATTTTCTTCGAAAACACTTCCTCTGTTCAGAAGTATGTGCCAACATCTGGCAGCTCCACGGATTCTCTCTGATAGAAAGCTGGTGAGATTGTGATTGTGCTGGAGTCAGATGTTCTCCAAGCAAATGCCACAGGGATTTGTGTTTCTGCCAACAGCGGCTCCACAGCGTCTCCTGCACGAACAGAGTCAAACACTGCCATCATCATCATCATCATCATGATGCATCAGCAGCAGAACATGCCCATCTACTCTTTCACATTTCTTATCCAATATTCGATTTTTCATCTGCACTTGATATTTGTAATTAACAGTCGTAACAGTCCAGGGCTGCGTTTCCCAAAAGCATCATGCTTACAGATTGAGAACTTGTTTGCTTTGTTAGTAACAAATGCCTCGATTTCTTTTTTTACATTTTTTTTCAACAAACAGGTTTGGTCGAGTTAAACTCCTCAAGGGGCATTTCAAGGTCGATGAGTAAGTCTCTGATGACTTGAGAGGCTTGTTGAGGGTTTGGGATTTTCTAAAGCAGTTTGGCACCTAGGATTTGTGACTTTAGTGTGTGTTTGTGATGTGATGCCCTGCTGTACAGCGATTGTTAAACTAGTGGAGACTCGCAGAGCTTTTGAAGTTCTTGATGAAAGCAGTAAAGCAAGTTTATTACATCACTCCTGAGGTTTTTCTGGTTTGTCCAACAGTGTCACATCCAGAATTCTGATTTAGGTCTTTATTTCAAGTTCCAGATATAATATCCAGAAAAAAATAATTTTTGTGTTCCTCATGCAAGGCTTATAGTTGCTAATGTTTTTTTGTTTGTTTTTCAGCTGTAAGTGGATGCACGGTTTATTAGCATGTTATGATGAATTAGAGGTTTTAAGTACTAATCACTAGTACTCGTGCTGCTAGTGTTGTGCTGAAACCTCTAGCACTGAGAGTGTGTGTGTGTGTTTGAGTGTGTGTGTGTGTGAGTGTGTGATTCTGCTGGATCAGAAACTGCTGAAACCCCAGACACACACTGAACACATCTACATACTCGAGCTTTTCTCCAAAGTGACTTACAAATGATGAATACATCAAGAAGGCTTTAGCACCGTTGTTGTGCTGTTACAAACAGCAATCGCATGTTCCTCAGGAAAAGTCAGAATGTGTTTTCTCTTACTGCTGTGGTGTTTGGATCCTCTGATGGACGACAGCATGAAGGGACTGTTTTCCTCGCTGGTCTTGAGGACATGAAATCAAATCTCACATAATTAGATCAAAGCGCACATCATAGTTGGTCTTATTACTGCTCGATGAAGCTCTGTGTTTCTGTTTCAAGTGAATGCAAAGTGCCAATTTTGAGCACCATTTGACAAAATGCTCATGTTGTTTGAACTGGATTGTCAGACGCTTGACGAGAGCACAGATGCAGCGCCTGAGAAACGTGACTGAGTTTAGCTGAAAGAGAAGCGAGTGTGAGCCGGTGCTGCAGAGGCTGCTGGGAGCGGTGATGATTCATGAAGCACAAACACTCACTGATCGAGCGTCAGCATGAAGAACACTGTTCAGCAATAAGCCTGGAGCGTTGTGGTTTGAACAGACAGTGTTTCTGACGTTCAGCTTTCTCATGATCCCTGATTATAATGCTGATGATATTTAGTGACCTGACTCTCTTTTACACTACATTCTTACATCATACAGGATCAGAACCAGAATACTTCAGACAAACGTCATTAAAACGGATCAAAATCTGCAGAAAAAAACTGAGATGTTTGCATGAACACAATGAAGCTAGCCGGATGCGTAATGCGAGCGATTTATCATTTTAAGGGCTCCATTTGTGAAAATGTGGAATTAATGCTTGTAATCACTGTTTTACTTTAGTAATGCACGTTTAATGTTCATGTATGAGCATATCAGACTGTGGACTGTCACTGAATTAAATAAAGACACAAGTGAGTTTACAGAGAGACGTCCTGCACAGATTCCTTCATCTCTGACGTCACTGCAAATAAAACACATTCACCTCCTGTTATTCATGTTTCTCTGAGGAATTATTTGAGGTCAGATGCACACTCAGCTCGGTGAATCCGCAGCGCTTCCCTGCTCTGGGTTAGTTTGGAAGCACACAGCGTTCCTGTGTTCCCGTCGAAGGGAATGTTGGGTGTGGACGGGAGTCAGAGAAATACTGTTCCCTTCCTGAGATTCCAGCAGCGCTAACGCACACAGATCATCCACTGATCCACTGATCGATCGAATGATTGATTGATTGAGCAGATATTTCATGTTTTTTGAGAAGAGATTGATTGACTCATTTCATGTGTCCATGAAGTTTAGTTATTTTGTGCACGTCCTGCATTCAACACACACACACACACACTCTCACACACACACACTTCTCACACACACTCTCACACACACACTCTCACACACACAACGCACACACACACACACACACACACACACAATATGATCGCTTAGGAGATTCACTGCGTGTGTAGAATTGCAATCTTCACTGTGTAAAAGATGAAATGCAGCTCTGGAGATTTTCCTCTGATGCTTCTGTCCTGGTGTCAGTGTGTTTGTGTTTGTGTTAGTTTAGCAGGAGTGTGTGCGTCTGACCGCTGCACAGAAGCGGAAGTGACCGTGACAGAGGGCAGTAACAGGATCTGCTGTGAGCGGAGCGTCCAGTGCTTTATGCCGCTTCCTGTCACGTGACTTCCTGTTCTGCCGGGGTTTTCCAGCCGTTTGTACTCATGCGAGCTTCTCACGTTACGCTGAACTCTAACGTCTTTATAAAGCCCAGGTTAAGGTAACTTTCCCACTTTAAATTTGCAAAGAGAGAGAGAGCGAGTGTAGCTGAGTTCTGGCCGTGTGAATCAGAGCGTGCGTTTATCAATCATAAAGTCACTCAATGCCTTCCTCATCAAATATTCAGTTTGTACAGTTGCACACATTCGGATTCAGTGTGTGAGGGCCTGGAATGTTGTTTTTCTCATTATTTTGCACTCTCTCATCATATGTGTGTTCAGCAGATCGTGTGTGAACGGTTTCTTCCTCTGATTGTTTGCGAGCTGAATATGGAAGCGTTTGTGTTTCCATCTCAAATACACGTGTTTCTCATAACAGTCCATAAGCTTTTGCTTCTTCCTCTTCAAATACAGAGCGATGAATGGTGAGAAAATTAAAAATAATCTGTGAAATCTGTGTTAGCTTCTCAAATGAGGTGATGATATTAGAGCTGACTCACTACGGCTGAGATTCTCAACAGACCGTAATACCATACTGTATATTACTTTATTAAAATTACTATTAGTTTCATGAGCCATAACTCTCAGGAGATCTGATTTATGGATGAACGTTTGCCAAGAGTTCATAAAGTAGGATTTCACTTCAGTCAAACAGGCTGAATTATTTCTTGGAAACTGGAAGGAGTGTGTTTTACGTGCTCATGTACATGTTCTTCATCTGAACTACAGAAAGAATCTAGCCGCTCGAGCGTGTGTTTCTGTGCAGCTCTCACCGTCTCCTGACAGTTCTGCTGAATGTGTTTATTACTGTATGTTTACACTGGATCAGATCCACCTGAATGTTTGATATGAGCAGCTCTGTGCCATGAATGAGACGCTCTTGGTTCTGAGCTGTTCTCATGCATTTACTGCCAGCTTTGTTCTTGAGTTAGTTTCTTCATGTCTTCTACTGATGCTCTTAAATGTCCAGAAAACACGTGAAGACGATTGTGTCCAGCACTGAAAACTGTTAAACCGGCTTCCAAACACCAGCGTTAACATGCTCAAGTCAATAAAAACTGACTATTCTATAACCGTTTTATTTCCTATTCCTCAGTTATTTGAGATTTGACTTACCATATGACTAGTGTCAAATCTCAAATAACTGCCATGATGACTTGTGTTCTACCCGCTTAAATGATAGAAGTACTTGTGCTGTCCAATCTATAACCTTATAGGATATTATATTTCCTATAAGGCCCTTAATGGGGCCTTATAGGAAAAACGAATATTTCGTTTTCTGCCTATTTCTACGTTATATTTTTGTTTGCACTTGACTTGACTTGACTTATTTGGGTTTATGTATATGCTTTATTTTTTTTAAGAGATTAACTCTTTTTTCCAAGCCACTGTTAGATGCCAGTGTTTTCTGTCATAGCTATACAAAGATTTGATTTCAAAAACAGTATCATTGCTATTAAACTATTTCTTGTTATGGTTTTAAATCTGTATTTATCCTCAGAATGATCTCTAAGTAAAAAGAAGTGCTAAAGTCAGATTTTTTTGGTGGCTGTGCTTTAAAATTAACCTAAATTCAAGGGATCAAGGATTTTGACAGTAATCAGTGTTGAGTTCTACTGTAAGTTTAACCTTGCTTGCTTTACATGTTCAAAATGATTAACAGCTGAAAACATCTATTTGAACTTTAGAAATCAAAAAGTAATCACATGTAATTACTTACATTAATAAAGTAATTGAAATAGTTACACTACTCATTACATTTTAAATAGGGTAACATGTAATCTGTAACCTGTTACATTTCCAAAGTAACCTTCCCAGCACTGGAGCTCAGGCGGCAGAACTGGTCTGTATTGTTGACTGAAGTCTGTCTGGTGTGGCGTGTTTGTAGGGAACGGCTCTGTTTGTCAGTGTTTGATTTCAGCATGAAAAGGCACCTTTATGATTCATCAGAGTTAAAGCTGTTAATGTGTTCTTGCTCCTGAATCCTTTGACATGCAAACTGTAAAGCCTGCTCATTTCTGAGTCGTATGAATATATTTCTTTATTTGTCCTCTGCACTACATGTTTTATACTGATGCCTTACAGCTAGAGATTCATTAGCGTGAATGGAGTGAGTCAGTCCAGACTCGAATGACCTGGACGCACCCGTGAGCTGTTGATGTGGAAACGTTCTGCTAGTGATTAGTGTGACTCGTTAGCATGAACTCACCGCTAACAGCTGCCAGTAAAACACCACACCACTTTCTCCTAGATTGTGAATTTATAGCACAAGTCATATGAGATGAGTTGTTTTATAGTTGGTTATTGCTGACTGTTCATGATCGTCATAAACCATCAGACAGCTAAAACTGAAAATGCCGAATCTGATTTTCCGCGTGATGGAAATGAAATAGTTGATAAAGGAATCATTGCAGCTGGAGCTGCTCCTCGGCATCACTGAAATGCACCCAATAGTTTTGAAACATGCTGGAATCCATCAATAAGAAGCAAACATGCCAGGACCTTTCCCCGCGGAATGATTGTGTGTGTGATGTTATTCGCAGAAACACCCACTCGCATGAAGAAGTGATGCCAGATCGAGATCAGAAGGGCTTTGGGTCTCTGCAGACACCAGACAGGCTTGTGATCGCTGATTCTGGGTGTATCAGGAAAAGCAGAAACTCTCAGGAACAAGCAGCGCTCAACACTGAAGACACGTGTTCAATGTCCAAAAGTGCAAAGACGTTTCAGTGAGGGTTCAGGTTAGGAGTAAAATAAATAAGGGATAATGCACGGTTAGCTGTGATCAAAGGGTTTTAATGCACGATCTGGAGGCAAAGGACCACCCGACACAGAGTGCATTAATATTGTTTAATGCATAGCTAGCCGTGCATTATCCCGCTTATACCATAGTCATTTGCCAGCACTGACAAGCTAAAGCTGTTGATGTTTGCAGTGCAATATTTGACCGTAAACATGACGGTTATTTTCGTCAGTTATGACTCGTTAGCGCTAGCATTCTGCCCACTTCAGGTCAGACACAGAGATGAAATAGTGCGGGTCACATTTATTTGAATTAATGCATTATGACATTTATTTGAATGAATTATTTATTGATTGATTGATCAACCGATTGAGAGAGAGAAAGAGTGTTTTGTGTGTGAATTTTATTTTATTAATAAAAGTCGCGGGGCAGCACTGAAAACAAGTTTCTGTGCTCCTGAATGTTTCTGTGTGCACAGCGCAATCTCTCTCTGTGTGTGTGTGAGTGTGTTATACTCAAGTCCATGTGGTTTGGAAAATGTGTTTGTTTACTGATGACTCAAACCTGTGTGTGTGTGTCTGTGTGTGTGTGTGTGTGTGTACCTACTTAACCATATTTTGGGAAAAATTTGTACCCAAAAGTGAGCTAAACCTGACAAAATCTCCAAAAACCTCCCTTTGGGGACGTCCTCATTTCTTAAACTGGTTTAAAAATAAAGTAAACAAAGTTTTTTAAAAATGGTAAAAATGCAGAAAGTTTTCTGTAAGGGGTAGGTTTAGTTTGGTGTAGGGTGATAGAATATACGGTTTGTACAGTATAAAAACCATTACGCCTATGTAATGTCCCCATTTAGATAGCTAAGTAAACGTGTGTGTGTGTGTGTGTGTGTGTGTGTGAGAGAGTCCGTGT